TTTCAAATTTTTATTTTTCTTTGAAGCTGGCAATGGCAATGCCGAGAGCCGCGCCTGCGCACCGTCATTTGTATATTTCATCGTCACTTCATTTACTGTTGACACCCGGAATTTAGCACTCAGTTCTCAAATCAAACAAACAATATGTTTTTATCGCCAGGCTAATTCATATCAGTGGAGTAATGTGACGCGTGGCATTCACTTGCTTTCATAGGAATTGCCGCTTGGCTCAGGTGAGTATTTTTAGTTAAATAATCTCCTGGAGCCTACCGCCTATTCCCCCAGGAAAAAATAAAGAAAAAAACTTGACGTTTATATTGTTGTATGTTCCGTCTAATATTTTATTGTGCTTATTTTAGTAAAGTACTAGCGTTTTCTAACGAACTGTCAGAATTTGATTAATCATTAATCTAGACAACGTAAACTTCACTTCTTTTGAGGTTGGGATGGCGCAGCTCCGCTCCGGCTTGGGAGCCTTCACTGCTGCTCCAGGACAAAATACACAACTTTATTCAATCAACAGCATTGACACAACATTGTGATTTAATATCTTAAGTTGATGTTGATTGTTATTTCAATTTCAGTTGAACTTCCCAATGTGGGTCCCTTCTTACCTTTTAACTAGTATTCAGAGTATACTGTTCTCTATTCTAATAAGCCAAAGAATACATATAGCGGCCCATAAACCCCGTGTTATTCAGTATCTTTCTTTGGCTGGGTTGAGTGCGGGAGTTTCTGACCACTGACTTAACTGACTTGCAGACATGTCATCGCCCAATTCACCAAGCCCCGTGAAGTTGGTGAGGAAAGGGAAATCGCTCACCATTGAGCTGAAAAAGGAAGAAGAAAAGTTTAGGAAAAACAAGTATAGTGGTAAATCTTATGATGTGTCTTAAATAAATTGGCATTTTAAATGGGTGTATTACAGCAGTAGGAATAATCCACAACTTTGTTATCAGATGTGACTAAAGTGTTGAAGGAAGAAATAGTCTGTTCAACATGTGGTAATGATCTGAAACAACATGTTAGAGAAGGAAATGATCTTTGTTATCATCCTCACCTGAAGGTGCTTATGTGTGAGGTACGATTCTATCAGCTTGTCACTTTACCTTTTAACTGTACTAGCAATGTTTCAGATAATTATGTTCTGTCATCTGATTAAATCATGTTGTTTTATGACATTGCTGACTCTTATTTTATATTTGTGCAGAAATGCATCAGAGTTTATAGGGATTCTGACTTTCCTGTGGATGAAGATGGAGATAATAAGTGCTGTTCTTGGTGTGGAAAGGAGGGTACTCTTTTTTACTGTTCCAATTGTTCCTGTGCATTTTGCAAAGTAAGTAAAGTATACTTCTTTTTCCAAAACACATTTCGTACATTTAACCTAACCATTTCACCTATTCCTGTCCAGAAATGTATAAAGGCTAACTTTGGAAAAGAGATATTAAGGGATTTGCAAGACAAGGATAAGGATTTTAATTGCTATATTTGTGACCCTAAGCAACTCTATGAATGTCGAGCTTTATGTTATGCTGCTATTGAATGTGCTCGAAACAAAAAGAGGTGAGTTTCTTTGTTTTAAATTGATTGATAATTCAAATAGTTTACATACAATTAACCACTCTAATGGTTGTTCACCAGGAAGAAGACAACTTTACAAAAGCAAAAGGTACTTGAAATGGCAGAGAAAAAACGTCTCGGTGTGAAACCCAAGCGTTCAGAGAGACGAAGAGCTGTTGATACTGATACTCTAGATAGTGATATTGAGGTAAGGCAATTGCAGCTATATGATAGTGATGATTAACTTTATATGTTTATCTAATCTATCTTTTCTTTAAAGGTTATCATGAGTAGTGATGAAGAAACAAACAAGTGTGAGACTCCTTTAAATGTCCAGAGGCCGACAAGCACTCAAAAGAGTGTAGTGAAGGTTGACAAGTTAAAGAAGACACACCCTTTAAAACAATTAGCGAAGAGTGTTGTGAGAGAAAGTTCAGGTGATTTGACTGATTCAGACTTTGAACCAAAGAATTCCCAACGGCTCAAACCTTGTGTACTTACAAAAGGAAGGAAATCAAAAGATTCAGGAAGTGATTCTTCAAGAAAGAAGAAAGAAAAAGATGAAGCAAGCTCTTCCAAGGATCCTGTGACATCTAGCTCCAGCAGCTCAAAAAATCCTGAGTGGATGATTTTGGACTCACATGCTGAAGACATTGCTTGTGCATCTGCGTCTTTGAATGAACGCATCGCTAGTTTTCGTGCAAAATTTGTAGAGCAGAGCTGGGAACCAAGTTTGCTACCAGTGGCAATTGACAAACTTAAATTTTACATCAAGAGAACTGTTCAAAGCCTTCTTGATGTTCAAGATAGTTTTGAATCTTTAAATTCAGCAACGTTTAATGGATCTTCCAGTACAAACCACAGGGAACATGTTAAAAAAGAATATGATATTACACACAATCCTAATGATCCTGAATTGCAATCTGTGTGTGATAGGAAGAGTAAAGGAACTGAGTCTGAGAGTGGTGAAACAGATGAGTTTCAAGAATCAAACAGGCCTCAAAGATGTGGTAGTACTGACTCAGAAGGTGAAGGTTCTAAAGGTATAGGGGACTCAACAGAAAATGGGGTAGCTTCTGAATCAGGAGATGATCCTGTGCTAGAAAAAGAAACTGCTGATGAAACTAATGATAATGCTGGTACATTTGTTTCAAACGGCAATACTAGCTGTGATTTGTTTGAAGATGAAGATTTTGGGCGTGATCAAATACCTAATCATAGAGACAGTGAAGTCTGTGCATCTGAAAAGCAGTGCCAGAAAGATGGGCTGCCTGAGGTTGATCCCCATCAAAGCACTAAGTCATTGGCATGTAAAGCTAGTTTGATGGCCGATTCAAGCACTGATTCTGACAGTTCTAGTATTAAACCAAATTTTGCCAAGAGCAAGCCCACTGAAGATGATGACAATTCAGATGTTGGGGATTTGAATTTGAGCCGCCTGTCTAGGCCCAGGAAGAGGAAGTTTGACATAAAGAGTCTTGATGTGTACAAGACAGATGTCAAATTACAAGGCAAATGGACTGTGAACATTGAAAAACTACCTTCACAACAAGTATCAAGACTGTTAGAGAAGGTTGGCTCTTACTATGATGCTGATACTGAAAGTGGCACTCACAGTGATGACTCTATTGATAAGTAAGTTGTTTTATGCATTCCTTTTGTTTTTTTCTTGAAAGTAAAGTTTATTGATGTACTTTATTGATGTTTTCTTTAAATATATATCTACAGCTTAACAAACTTAAATAATCTGAAATGGAAACATAAGGGAAGTGACGAGGATAGCAATAAAATTCTGAAACCAGAGGGAGCTACTAAAAAGATAAAAGAGAAAAAACAAACTAAAGAAGAAAAATTAGCTGATTATCTCAATAGATCAAGTGGTAATAAATATATTGCACTTTTATAACCACATAGTTGACTTTTATTTTATTTTTAAAATTCTAATCAGACTGTAAAGTAATGTACCCTTCAGTCATATCATTTGTGAATTTTTTTTTTCACTAACAGGTCCATCTGATTGTGAAATGTCATTTGAGAACCAACCACTTAGTAGTTTCCTGGATAAAGAAAAGGATACAAATTCTCTCAATGATGCCAAAAAGAAATTATTACTTCAGTCTTCAGACAGTATGTGTCATGCTTTTGTATGAAAGTTAATGCTCTAAATGCTAAATAATCATTTTCATTTAATTGAATAATTTAGGTGAAGCCGAACAATCTGAAGTGTTGAAAAAAGTTAATGACGAAACTAAAAAAGATACAGATCTGCAGAAGAAGAAGGAATCTAAGAAAGAACCTGATAGTACAATAACTGGAGAGGAGGAAATAAATACTATATCTGACAGTGAAAATGTACTTATTCCAGCCATAGTTGCTTACCTTACATTTGCATGGAGCGTGTTTCTATACTCAAGCATTTACATTTTCCCAATAGGATTCAGATAAAAAGAAAAGTGCGTGGCGGAAAGATAAATTACTTACTGGTAAGCTCTCAGACACCGATACAAGCGATGAAGAAAGAAGGTGGGAAAAGAAGAAAGCTCAAGCCAAAGATGAGAGTAGCTCTAGGTAAGCTTTCCTTTTCTTTAAGATTGGAGATATAGTTCAGATCCCTGATATGGGAGATCTGAGACTGTAAGACCAAATTTTACCATGGTAAAACATGTGGTATTTATAATTTTGCTCTCAATTTTATAGCGACGATGAAATAATTACTCCCAAGAATAGGTAAAGTATTACGTAGCATGCGTTAGTGTTCATTGCTTTGCGTATGCAGTGGCTTGTATGGTTATTGTGCGGAAATTTCCTTCTGTCATGCCTATTGTTTTGATTTGAGTTGCATATGCTTGTGTAATTTTCATCTACATATGATGAGAAGCCACAAATTTTGTTTGTGTTATCTGCACATAATACAGGAGCTGTTCTATTATTTCCCAGTGGCAGTTTTGCAGAAACGGTTACATGTAATCAGCCAAACTTTTCCATAGATTTTGAGTTCAGAAAGATAGAAATGTGTTGATGTGTGATGAGCATGCAGTGTGCAGTTATTTATTGCATAGTGCTGTTATGGAGTAGGAACAAGACGCTGCCTAACTCTATCTAGGGTCTTTTTATAGCAGTGGCCTATCTATGCACTACGCAGTAAATGATTGTTCCCATAAAGCCTTTCCATTCTCAGTCTTTTGAGTCAATTTATATCTAGTATTGGTTGGTTACCACTGTAAAATAAACCAAATTCGTCTGAAAGTGCTTACTGATGCTATGCTTCAAGGATTGAGTATGAGGTATTTGGTATCTTTTGGTTGCATCATCTTCCATCTACTAATTATTTATAGATAGGGCAACTTGACTGGGCCAACATTAAGTGATCCTTCATTAGGTGACGGTTTCCTTCACACAATCCATTTCAGTTTCTGATTTGGAGGTGAATGTCTGGATCATGATTTACCGGTACATTGTTGTATATTCCATATTGTTCTGTCAATTTTGTATCTTGTATCTTTTTTATAAAAATGACACTCCTGGATTATTATTTTTCCTTCTTGCAGACTACTTTGGTCAAAGGTTCATGTTGACTTCCCCTTAAGAATTTGAAGGTTCTTTAAAATGTTTTCCAACGTGATCCATCACACTTTATAGAACATATGTCCAAGCTCCCATGAATTGTTTTGAATGACTTATTTTTTTAACCAGTTTTGCTTGCTCTGTTGTTAATATTCTACTTTAGGGAATGGTTTTGAGGTTCACTATCTGCTATGTAGATATCACCCATAATTCTTAATAACTATCCATAACACCATGATATCTTTCTTTTTTTACCTTTAGAAGGAAGGAGTCTCCAAAGAAAACTGACTCTAAAATAATAGAGATAGAGAGTGATGGCGACACATCTGATGATTTTGTCAAAAAGAAGAGAAAGGTTTTGAGGAAGAAATCATCCTCCTCTTCTTCCTCCGAGTCAGAGAAAGCAAAGTAAGATAGTAAATACATAAATATAATAATACGTAAATACGGTACTTCATAATTTATTTATCTATCTCATTTCAACTACCATACACCATTTGCTTTCAGGCCCAAGAAGAAAAGAAGAAGAATCAAGGTGGCTGACTCAAGCACAGATTCTGATGAAGATGACAAAAAAAAAACTGTAAATAAATGATAGAATTTTCTAGCTTTTTAATGTGATGAACGGACGCACTCATTTCTTGTCTCATCTTTATTTTCATTCCAGGCTGATAGTGAGAGTCCCACTAAAGGTAGAAAGAAAATTAGGCACATGATGAAAGAAGATGAGCTTGAAGAAGGAACAAAGGAAGCTGCTAAGGAGGAGGAAGAACGTCTAAAACGAATAGCAGCACGTCAAAAAATGGTATGTTTTCATGTTCAAGACAAGTTAAAGTCAAACATGCTATTTTTTTTAATCTAGTCAAAGCCTGTTTGTGTGATAATTTTGTCATTTACCTATTTATCTTTGCCCTTTTGTCTTTGGTCAGTATGAAGAACTATATGACAATATTCAGAAAGAATTCCATGTCTTGGATCAATTAATCCTGGATTTTGATGAAGAAACGAAGGAGCCTCTTGTTGAAGTGGATAAATCCCTTGTGAAAAAATTAAAGCCTCACCAAGCAAAAGGTGTTAAGTTCATGTGGGATGCTTGTTTTGAATCCTTGAAAAGAACAAAGGAACAAAGCAACAAAGGATCTGGATGTATTTTAGCTCACTGTATGGGACTGGGAAAAACATTTCAGGTGCGATTTGTTTAATTGTGGGCATGGTAGAAGTTTGGAAGGAAGTATTTCTTCATCAATTAATTTTCTTTCTTCTGTAGGTTGTTACTCTTGTACACACACTATTTAAACATCCAGAAACCAATGTTAACACTGTTCTGGTTGTTTGCCCTGTCAGCACAGTTCTTAATTGGGTAAATGAATTTGATAAGTGGCTTAGTGGAGTTGAGGAGGGACCCAGTATCGGAGTTCATGAATTGACAAGGTATGTGCATCACTTACAGTCGGGTCAAAACATTCTGTACTTATGATAAATTACGTTTTGATTTTGAAGGTGCAAGCAAAATATGGACCGTTCTTATCGGTTGAGAGAATGGAGGGAAGAAGGTGGGGTGATGGTAATTGGATATGATATGTATCGTAATCTTACCAACCCAGATTCAAAACGATTCAGACCCTCTATTATGAAAACATTCCAAGAAAGCCTTGTTGATCCTGGTATGTTTTTACTGCATTTCATGTGTTGTCTTGAATCTGACGAGTTAATGAATTTTTATTTCTACTTAAGGCCCAGATTTGGTTATATGTGATGAAGGACATCTACTGAAAAATGAAGATACTGGTATTTCTAAAGCTATGACTAGAGTTAAGACTCTTCGTCGTGTAATTCTCACTGGTACACCCCTTCAAAATAACTTGAAAGAATGTGAGTTTTGTTGTTGTCGTTTTTTGTGCTGAGAAGTGTCTGTCTTAGCTGTCTATGATAGTTTTTGTAATTTTTGGGTGCTCGCAGATCATTGCATGGTGCAGTTAGTGAAACCTAATCTCCTTGGTAATAGGAAAGAGTTCCTTAACAGGTTTGTTAATCCTATTACCAATGGACAGTTTGAAGATTCAACTGCCCATGATGTAAGATGCATGAAAAGGAGAGCTCACGTTCTTCATAAAACACTTGAGGGATCTGTTCAGGTTGTTATTATTTTTATTTACTCTTTGTCATATTTTCTATCTTCGGTACTAATGGTACTACTTTTGTATCTCTCTGTAGCGGTTTGATTACTCTGTTTTGACTCCATTTTTGCCTCCAAAAGAGGAGTATGTGATATCCATTCGAATCTCAGATTTGCAAGAGAAACTTTACAAACATTACTTAGAGCATTTCTCAAGCAGAGGTTACCAGGGTAAAGGAGCGCAGTTGTTTGCTGATTTTCAAAGTTTGCAGAAGATTTGGACTCATCCTCGAGTCTT